GCATTGGCATAAAACATTGTATATGAATTATGGAATATTTCTAGCGCACTCTGCCGCAACGAGTTATTATCTCCGAGATTGGAAAATTGTTCAAAAAGTCCTAAACCTATCAAACTATTGCCAATTTAGTCATAAACTTTTTAATTCTGCCAATTTAGTTTTAAACATTTTCATATTTTGCCAATTGAGTCAATTCGGCTAATTTTGACCGGACATTGATGACGTAGACGCCGGTCATGCCAAGTCATCTTACGTGGCGTGACCGGCACTAACGCGGATATTTTTTAATAATATTTTTCAAAAAACAAAATTTATTTCCTTTTTCCTTTATTTTTTTTTTGTTTGTTTGTTTTTTTTTTTACACCTTTGGCCGGCGAGGGTGCAGACTCCAGAGTAAACCCTTAAGAAGAAATTTCAGCTTGATAACATTAAACTTGAGAAAACCCATAAGAAGGGTTGCGCTAGCTTGACAGTGTGACCGTCTGACAATCAAAGGATAGCCACAAAATTTTCCTTTCGCCAACACAAGCGTGTGAAAATTGCCAAGCACAACACAGATCTTTCTCTCTTTATTGGAAAATGTGTGGCTAAGGGTTTACCGTCGGTTTTCCAAGCTAATGGTACGGTTAGCCAATCATTCCCCTAAGAAGAAATGGTTGGCAGTGATATAAGATTCAGTCAGTTTCATCAGCAGCTTGTCCCAAATATGGCATTGCGCTATAAAAGGAAGGCTTGGGAAGATAAGCTTATGGGGGAAAGCATGAGCTCAAGCGCGCGCGCGCGCACAAAGAACCACATGCTCATGTTGCGCGTATCTCTCGATATATTTTCGAAAGATGAAAGCTGTGGACCCGCACGAAGCAGATAGCAAAGTCTCAACTTTGAAACGACGTCTTAAGATTGCTTTGGGAGTAAATAATGGAGGATAGAGACTAATGGAAGATGTCTGTTAATGGCGTCCAACTCGGCAAAAGAAGACTGATGCGCGATGGACCACGTTGAACAAGATTTGAAGCTTTCAGGTGGTGTTCAGGTGGCATTCAGGTGGGACTGTCTCCTGAGAAGTTGCTTGGTCCAATCGAGAGTCCAAGCTCCTATCTCCCATCCGCACATGCCAACTTTTCCTCAACCTCAGGCTTTTCCCCTGTTCACCTTATCTGCAGTACGAGTGTCCTTTGTTTTCTTGTCGGGTTTTGGTATCTGTTTGTTCGTTTCTGTTTGCGTCTCGTGTCCAAGCGTGTCATTTCGAAAAGAAAATAGTAGGAATGCACGAGAGAAAACAAAATCAACAGCACGTTATCAGCGGAATGAGAATGAGCAGCAGCCTACAACGCTGGGGGAGAGTACTGTAAGATAGCTAAGATTAGGAGTACTTGGGAAATATGGGATAAGTGCACTACAAGTCCTAAAACTTGTCACAAAAGTGCATTTGAGTCCTAAAACTTGCAAAAAGTTCATTTGAGTCCTAAAACTTGTCAAAATGGTTCATTTGAGTCCTAAAGTTAACACTGTTATATTTACTTACGGAAAACGCTGACGTGGCGCTAACGTGTCATTTTTAATTATTTTTCTTGAGATACGTGGCGCCACGTCAGCAAAAATAAAAATAAAATAGAAAAACCTGTAAAAAAAGGAAAAAAAAAAAAAAACAGAACCGGTGGTGGCCAAGCCCGGCGGCCACCGTCGGTGGCTGCCGCCACAACCACCTGGAAGGACCGGCGGAGGTCGCCTGGGCCTTCCCGAAGCCCGGCGACCCTCGCCGGCCCCGGGCGAGTCCCCAGCAAGGGCCGACGACCCCCGCTCAGATCTGGGACGAGGGTCGCGCCCTCCCCGCATCGAGGGTCGCCGCTCCGCTAGATCGAGGGTCGCGGGGACTCGCACGGGGCCGGCGGAGGTCGCCCGGGCCTTCCGGAAGCCGACCGCTCGCCCCGGCGAGTCCCCGTCGACCCTCGCTCGATCCGGGGTGAGTGGTCGCGCCTCCCCGCATCGAGGGTCGCCGGCCTCGCCGGGACTTCGCACGAGGCCGGCGGAGGTCGCCTGGGCCTTCCCGAAACCCGGTGACCCTCGCCGGCCCCGGCGAGTCCCCGGCGAGGGCCGGCGACCCTCGCTCGATCTCGGGGCGAGGGGGCGAGGGTCGCGTCCTCCCCCGGATCGAGGGTCGCCGACCCTCACCCGGGGCCGGCGAGGGTCGCCGGGCTTCGGGAAGGCCCAGGTGACCTCCGCCGGCCCCGTGCGAGTCCCCGGCGACCCTCGATCTGGGGGAGGGCGCAACCCTCGCCCCAAATCTGAGCGAGGGTCGCCGGCCCTCGCCGGGGACTTGCCCCGGGCCGTCGAGGGTCGCCGGGCTTCGGGAAGGCCTAGGTGACCTCCGCCGGTCCTTCCCGTTGGCTGTGGCGGCGGCCACCGGCGGTGGCCGCCGGGCTTGGCCACTGCCGGTTCTTTTTTTTTTTTTTTTTTTTTCCTTTTTTTGGTTTTTTTTTGTTTTTTTACAGCTTTTTCTATTTTTATTTTTATTTTTGCTGACGTGGCGCCACGTGTCTCAAGAAAAATAATTAAAAATGACACGTTAGAGCCACGTCAGCGTTTTCCGTTAGTAAATCTGACGGTGTTAACTTTAGGACTCAAATGAACTATTTTGACAAGTTTTAGGACTCATAAACTTTTTGCAAGTTTTAAGATTTAAATGCACTTTTGTGACAAGTTTTAGGACTTATGGTGCACTTGTCCCTGGGGAATATATAAGTTAGAACGTGCACAGAATAGAAATGTGTAATTTTTGCATATTTCAGTAGTAAGAAATACAGGAGTATTATTAGTCTCCGTCAAGAGACTATCTAACCAATTAGCAATTTAGACTATCGCACCGATACACAAAAACAACGATGGTCCTACCATGATATTTAAAATAACTATCGATCAAGACAAGATACCTAACACGATGTCACAATATCTCTAATGAAGTTGTTTGGTAACCTAATCGATACACGAAACAAATCAAGACGAAGAGTTCTATGAAGTACATGATGTTGCACAAGTTGATTTGAATGTGACTAGGGCGCTTAATGGAAAGTATCGTCACATGCCTTTTGGATTATCCTCCGATTGTCGGGAAGGGGTGACAGTTGCACCGGAATGAGGAACTCCCGTGCATGTGATGCAGTAACCATCGCGACCATAATAATAAGGAAAGCCGTATTAGAAAGAGCATATTACTTTCCTTTGGTACATGATAGATAAAAAGAATCATTGTGAAAGAAGCAATAATCTATATTTGAGCGACGATCCTAAGGATCAGCTGCCCAGTATCAATCAGAGTATACCTGTAGTTGTAGAGCAGATTGTAGAAAAGAAAACCCTAAAATGAGGTACCTTGTTGTAGCAAGAACACTGAGAACTGTACAAAATGCGTCGCATGTGGTGTGCTTATGAACTGGCTGACAAAGTGTAAAAAATGCAATCTTAGGATGAATAACAATGAGAAACATAAGACTAACCATCCATGGCATTGAATTTGACATTGGCCTCAATGGGGGTAATAGAAACATTGCTATCGGTGAGTCTCGCTAGGGAAAGATATTTTCTTCGAACTAGATGAATCATAAATAATAGTCAAACCCCATATATAAATAAGTCTGCTCATGATCCTTCATTTCAAACTATTTACTGAGATAGTGATTAAGCTAGAAAAATAGTCTAAAAAGTCATAAACCTATTGTATGACAGCCAATTTAAACATAAACATTTCAATTGTACTAATTTAATCTGAAACATTTCGACGATTTGCCAATATAGTCTTAAACCTTTTTACGATTTGCCAATTTAGTCCTTCAGGTCAATTTGATCGAAAATTGTTGACGTGGAGGTGTAACAAGTGCCGGCCGTCCTACGTGACATGGTCGAATAATTTTTACAATTTTCTCCAATTTTCTCCAATTTTTATTATTTTTTTTCTTTTTTTTCTTTTTTCTTTCTTTTTTTTCAACTTTGGGCAGCGCGAGGTCGTAGGCCAACCATAGCTGACCATAGGCGAGGGTCGCGGCCTTCGCCGGCCAACAGGCAACCTTGTCAGCCAATAGGCAAGAGTCGATCGGCAACCTTGTCGACCCATAGTCGGAAAAAAAAAAGGAATGAAAATAAAATAAAATAAAAAAACAAAAAAAATCAAAATTGTCCACGTCAGTGCCGGCCATGCCACATAAGACGGTTGACGCTGACTAGACTACCATGTCAGCAATTTCTAGCCAAAATTGGCCGGATGGCAAATCGTTAAAAATTTATGATTAAATTGACACAATTAAAAGGTTCAGGACCGAATTGGCCGCCGTATAATAAGTTTAGAACTTTTTACTCTTCATATCTAATATATTTGTAAGCAAGATCTCATATTTTAATGAGTAAATTAAAACTATTAGGGGACATGACAAAATCAAAAGAACTATGAAAAGATGGCATCAAGCACCAATTACGATAAAGATGGGAGGGCAGTCCATGATCTCTTCCTGTTCCATTTAAAAAAAGAAGAATTCGATGGAGCAAAATCAGATAAGAAAGAAATGGAAAGCATGCGCATACCCCTGTGCATAAAACTATGTGATTGAGAATTGCAAAGGGAAAGGAGAAGGAGAGAGGGAGATGAAAAGTTAAAAGCAGGGTTGGAATTTCGTAATTTTATGCACTGTTTTAGATTGATGAAGGATATGCTCCAGAAGCACTTTTAGACTTCTTTGGACTGTCCAAACATACAACGATGTTGTCAATTACTTTGGACTGTACTCGAGTTAATGAACTCATTAGGAGAAGTCTTCTGGACTTCCGTTCATGCAAGCGAGACTCCCCAAAGTCGAGAACAACCATGACCCAAACCAGAAGTATCCAGCGAAGGCACATATTATCAGTTTCGCCATCTACAACATCGGACGGCAAAAATGAGAGAGTCATCACAAATGGTCAGGAAAGTCACGAAAGGAACTACACCAGTCACTGCGTATCGAAAGACTCTGTTATCGATGAAAGAAGAGAAGAATATAGGATTGAAAGTAAACAGTCGCGACGAATTAATCAAGTTTGCCCTTCTCAGATCCCATTGCGCCTCATCACCCCATACAAATTTCAGGTGCTAAGCGCAATCGATCACTTTCACAAAACAGGTCTGTATATTCAACTAATGTCAGGCAAAAGTTTTCCCACTTCTGCTTCTAGGTCCAGCTTCTCCAAAGTTCGTATCTTTCCTCCCGCTCATATACACCCTCCCTATGCTTTCACTGCCATGACAAAAGAGCCGGACCAGGCAAGTCGTGACATATTGCCGATTTAAGACTGCAAGTTGCTCTGCTCGAACTGACTTTCTCACTTACGACGCCAAGCTAGTAGTTTAAGCCTCTCAAAAGTAAACTTGATACCATTCCAGTCATTTAGGGGAAAAACGAAAAAGCATGGCAAGTAAATTGTCTGACGCTGTAAAAACTCTTTTGGCAACTCGTCCTGGCATTCCTTTTGTCTGACATTCCATGACTGCCATTTTGCATTGCAATCCGAGGTTCTCTTTTTTTGCTGCCACAAGAATATTCTAAGTGGTGGAAGCATGGACAGTAGACAAGAGTCACAAAATCGACCCAGAATTGTCTGTCTGAAGCTTGATAGCTTAATGCAGCAACTTGTTTGGGATTCAACACTCAGCTTGTGCATTGTCTGTTTTGATACGGATCATCACTATGCTGAAAGAAGTGTTGTTGGATCTGTCCAAGCAGCAGCTGCGTTTCCAGCAGGCAAGCCTTATCATAAAACCTTCATCCCCACCAGAGAACAAACTTAGATACCAATACTTCGGGCAGCATGATATATGCTAGTGAGAAATTTGTCTGCCATATGCTCCAGTATCAGATTTCTGAAACAATGACACAAAAGTAAAATTACGTTATAAAAAAGGCAGGAAGCTCCACGTGAACTGCTAAACTACAGATGGATGGTGAAAAAGAGAAACCTGACACAATAGTCAGTAAAAACAAAAGTACCAGTTTCGCAAGTTCCAAACAGATTGTAATGCATTACTGGTCAGTACTTCAGAAATGTTATTCTTAGATGACATGCAATCACAATGAACGGAATTTTTTGCAAAGGAATTGGCAATAACCAATCATTATAGTCAACTAATTAATTTACGGAAACTTAAAAATTGTAATCATGGGAACCTCAAAAGGATGCTATGCCTACAAATCAAAGAGATATTTTAAATAAATAAAAACGCATTGCTAATGGTAATATCAGATCTTACTCTTGTATGAGAGAGAAAAAATGCCAACAGATTGAATTGCAAGCCAAAGTCCCTCAGTTTGGCTTCACCAAGTAGGAAGCCCATACTTCATCTGCCGGAGGTGGCGGTTGAACCCAGTGCCCAGGTATGCGGCTACAGTATATACAATAATTCTGTGAGGAAATGACAGAATTTCCGAAACCACTACCGACGCACTTAACTTCTCTTGAGCTCAGTGATTGAGAAGAAAAATCTATATATGGTGCTTGAACTTTGAAGCTGATGGAGAAATAACAATTGAGGTAGAGACTCTAGCGGTAATAAATGCATGCCACCAATGTACATTCCTATGGAAGCATCATGATGGAAGTAGCAAAGACGATGACCAAACTAGAGAGATCAGCAGGACACAGAAATTATTGACTAAACAAACAGGCAAACATCTCACTATCACACCATTGAAACCAGAGATTCTTGCCCCAGGCTCTCTAATCTCTTTACATACTAGTTGTGGATTTAGTTTACTGTTCTCATTTCCTTTTCTTCATAGAGGGGGAAGATAGAAATCAATCCCAAGGCCTCTTGGATCTTCCTAAGGGTGGCCCATCATTAGGCCAAACCTCCTGGATCTTGCTCTCACTTACCCTGATTATTCCTCTCATTTTAGTTGGTTGGTCTCACATGTACGCTGATAACAATATATAAAAAATGCACCTAGCCAATTAACAGGCAGGATACATAACCTTGTAAAATGAAGGTAGCAAAAATAATGTGTGTCCTCACCTTCCTCCCCTTCTTAGATATGCATCCCATGTTCTTCTGACCTGCGTGATATATAAGAACACATCAACTTTCCCTCGCTAATTCACATAAAGCAGATAATTATCACTTAATTATGCTGCTATACAAGGATGGCCTCAACAAATTATGATACGTGATGCAGAGGGGCTATTAAGGAAACTCGGAACACCAACAGTGGTTTGTTATTTAGATCTGCAGTGATGTAAGGCCAACCAGACTCTCATTGTTAGGTCAGAAAACTCAGCCCTGATACTGATCTAATTTAGGAGCAAGGAATAAACCAAAACCACATGCAATCTAACCTCTATAAGAGTCCCCATATCAGTGTTACTGCCATGATAGTAATGATAGAACTCAATCGGAAGATTTGCCAAGGCCTCATAAGATCCAATATGAGCTTTCCCTTCTGGTGCTTCTTTCTTGGATTCATTATGACCGCCCGTTAAAGAGCTAATGTTGCCTTCCTCATCAGTAATTTCATCTTTGTTTTCAAGCTTTTGATGTGTGACATCATTTTGATCTTTCGGGTCAGACTCAGCAGTATCAGCTGTTTTGCGAGATTCTTCGGCAGTCGCAATGGCATCTCTTGCAGCATCTGCATCAGCCGCAATGCGAGCCTGGATCTCCTCTTCCTCAACAGCAACTCGAACTCTCTCAAGAAACTCATTATCCTCCTCTGGGAGAAAATGTCCTGGCAAAACAGACCAACCATTCATACTTCCAGGTGAGCTAGCACTGAGAAAATTCACCATGAATGTAACAAACGGTTGCCCTTTTCAGCAACTGAACAACATAAAAATTGCAATCTTTGATAAAGCACGCAAATTAAAGGAAATGAGTTTCTAGTACATAGTTACAACACTCACACGATTGGTTCACCTATTCACAAGTAGACACACCAATTACAATCAAGGACATAAATGCCCAATACACGGGTGGGAAAATTCCAAAAGTTCACATGAACGACAGCTCAATCTGACTGACAAATGAAAAAGTAGATGCCTCCGTAGTTGATAACATGTGCAATTCATTTCCACCGAGATAGCAAAAAGCCAGTGGAAAGTTGCACATTACAGAAACACGACACGGAATGTCATAAAAGTCATAAAGCTGGTAGAAACTGCAACAGGTATCACAGGCATCACATGGGTAAGCACTAAGCACGAAAGTTTACCCTGCTTCTTCAGTTTTCTAACCCTCATTGACCGTAGCTCCTGCAATTTCTCCACAATCAAGACAAGCTCTAGCTGGAAAGCAAAAGAAAGAATAAGTTCATTAAACAAGTGCAACAGGAGCCAAAGAAAACACATAATAGGTAGCGGCAATACGATACAAAGAATCAATCTCCAAAAATGTCTTTAGAAGGAAATGTCTTTAAACATAAAAATCGGGTTCTCTGCTCTAAAATATTTGTAATATTCAAGGAAATCGAGTCAATATAAGTAAAATCAATCAATACTGTCAGGCAATTGGATAAACAGAGCATTCATTGGGAAAGAGGCATATTTACTTCATCCCACAAAGCAATTAACAAGAACACGAACGAAAATTTCGAACTGACAACAATTCTGAATTCTTCATGCTAGTTATTAGCACCATTTTCAAAACTTCTTTGAATTACCAGTAGTAAAACTAACGAATATGTACAACAAGAATTGAGCATATTCGTGATCAGTGAGACCTTGGTCATCCACAACAAAAAGTAATAACTGTAGCCCATTGAGCGACTTAGTTTAGAGTCAATGATGTAAAGACAGAGTAAGACAATGCTAAGACGTGTTACATATCCAAAACATCACCATGAAGAATCTAAAGTAGCACATTCAATAAAAGCAAATGAAAGAGCGAATTCAAGACATGACAGAGAATCTTTTCCTCCGAAAATAAAGTGCAAGTATCCAAACAAGTGGAGTGAACAGACTAGTAGCACTCACCTCGGATTCCAACCTCCTCCTTTCCTCCTTTGCTTTAAGCTTTGCTATTTCCTTCATCTTTTCTATCTGAACATCACCAGATGACATTTGTTTCGATTACAAACTCGGAACTACAACTCCAAAATGTGGACAGTAAAGTAACAATCATCACGAACATATTAGTCCAAGTTACACTCCCATTTGCAAGGTTAGTGAATCCAAGGAACTCCATAGAGACTGCACATCAATGTTTTAAAGAGCATCTATTTAAGCTTCTTCAACTTACGAGCATACTCAAAATACTTCCTCCCATTCCTCCAATTGTGCCATGCTGTATATACATATCTACGACTTTTAAGCAGTCAAAGCTTTTCCCCTATTGGGAACCGATATTTCTGCTTGGGACACAAATGAAGTTAATCAGGCCAATGCTCCCCTTCAAAGATCACGCGACAAGCAACGAGAAGACTCAGGACACGATCGATGCTGAGCAAACAAATGACAAATCCACGACCTTCCCGCATCTCATAACACATACGCCACAATACCTTGCGTCTCGCAATATCCTTGGCGATCTCCCTTGCTCTCCACTCATCAGCATCCTGATCAGCTTGGTCAAACCGTTCGCGCTCCTAAATTATTCACAGAACAGCAAGTATCAGACGAAACGAGCACTCCAGCCCAACACTAACCAATTACCGAAAGACAACTCAAGAGCCAAACGGCCATTTAAACAAACAGCTTGCCTTCATCTGCTGCTCCGCCACGCGCCGCCTCTTCCTCTTCCTCCAGAGCTTATTCCGCCTCGACTTGGACATCTTGCTCGACAATCTGAACACCGCCGATTTCTCCTCCCAGGGACCCGCCTCATCCGCGACGACTCTGAACGGCTCGAGCTGGGCTCTCAATTTCGAAATCACAGAGCTCGCAGCTTCCAGCGACCGCATCTCTTGCAACTCCAGACCAATGCCCTCGTCCTCGACGTGCTTCAAGAACTCGCGCGCCCGACCACCGCAAGCCCCGCTTCTCACGCCTTCACCGCACGCTTCGGATTCTTTGATCGTCCCCAGCAACTCGAGCTCCCTCCGCCTGTCGATGCGCTCATGTGCTTAACAACCCGGTGCTAAGAAACAACAATTCAAAATCGAAGCGAGATCGAAAGGGGTGGAGGATCAAGTGGCGACGACCATACATTGCTTTCGCTTGCGCGAGCGTCTCCTGCAACTCTCGAACTCGATCGCGGACGTTCGCGCCGCTCCAGAACGCGCTCGACGGCGGCGGGTGGGGCGGTAACATCGGGTACCAGGTCGGCGGCATCGCCGGCGGCGGCGGCGGCGCAAGATTCATGGTCGGCGAGAGTTAGCGAAACCAATCAAACTTGCGACGGTGCTGAGCACGCGGCTTCGGGTTTTACGGCGGTCGGACGTTCATGAGAATTGAAAAAGCTCTCTGGATGATTAAAATAAAAATCATAAATTAGGGATCGAAATGAAATTCTCCAAAAAACTTGGGCTAAATATAAATTCTTCCCGCTTTTTATACGTGGGAAAAAAACACAAATGGCACATGAACTTTGGCTCAATGTGTAAAGTCATCTCTAGATTTTTAATTTGTTCAATATGATCCTTTGATTTTAGTCCAATGTGTAATGTGGTCTTTAAACTTTTAATTTATTCAATATGATCCCTAATTTTTTTTTATATACATCAAATATTATCCTTCTATTATTCAAGTTAACTGAATTTACTGATTTGGCTTTTAATCTGATAAGTTTGAACGGTGAAAAAAAAAAATGATGCGTGCAGCCACGTAAGATGTTCGATCCAAATTAGAATCTAATAAATAATTCGTTTAATTTGTTTGTTTGTTTAATTTGGAAAATCAGCAAATTCCATGAACTTGAATGAATAAAATGATATTTTCATATAGTATAGGACATTTATTGAACATCTACCAAAAGTTCGAGGACAACATTAAATAAATTAAAATTTCAGGGATGACATTGTACATCGAGCCAAAATTCAGGCACCATATTGAGCAATATCAAAGTTCAGAGAGGACATTGTCTATCGGGCCAAAGTTTTAAAAAAATCATTTATATAATTATCCCTTTTTACATATTAATCAGTGATCTTAATTAACTTAGCTAAATTGAATTTGTTATGTCGGGTGACCTATGTTCGCGAACATCACCATAGCGACGGCCATGTAGGATGAGAAAATTGATTTTAATAAAATAAAAAAAAGTGAACTTTCTATCCAAAGAAAACTAACATAACTAGCATATGCTTGCAATTTTTGTGCAAATTTTAGAAATTGAACGAAAAAAATGAAAGTTTCATCACTCAAATGCAACATCGGCACGAGTTTTAAAACTTCTAAAAAAATGTGTTACTATTTCCAGCAATATATGTAAAGTACAATGACTACTAGTCTACTATTGCCCGACAAAAAAATATAGGTGGTAACTCCCAAAATACGAGAGGTGTTGACATAAGCATAGTTGCCTTGACGAATTCTATTTAGATGTGAATGCTAAGTTGTCGTCTCTGCGTGAACCTTGGCTCCACTTCCTCAAGGACGAAATAGGCAGCCGTACAAATGCATGATTATCACTTCCGATTTCACATTTTGTTTGTCCTCCTAGTCTTTTCCCCCTTTTTATTGCTAAATTGGATGGTTAATTTGGAAGCATCAATTACCCGATATAATACTTCATATTTTAAAAAAACATTGAACCGTCAAAACACTATCTTGTTCAACCAAATTCATGTCCAACGGCATGGGATTGCGTTCAAGTGGCAAGCATGTTCGTCCTTCTCACTCGGCACCACAGTTGGAATTACCATATTCTCTAAAGTCACTTTCAAAAAACATAGACCTCTATATTTACGATAATTTTCCGATATATATGAGACATGGGGATTGTTATATGGTTAGGGATTAGCTAGATACTTCAAGAGGTTAGGACACCCCACTGATACAAAAAAAAGTTCAGGTCCATGAGAATAAGAAATCACTATATTTTTTATGACAGAGAGGAATACCATCTTACCTATCTTATGGATTAGGTCAAACGCAAATAAAATAAGACGTTATGTCCCTTGCCTCACCTTCGAAACAAGAATACAAATTTAAAATTACCCAAAAGACAAACTACATCTCACTCGTAGTTATGGCAACGTCTTTAGCAAATGAATGGAACGATCCAACAATGCAAAACAACTTCCACATGCAGACAGATAGCAAGACATCAACGTAGGAGACAACAACATAAGGAAGAGGAAAACTAAACCAGAAAGGAGCTAGATGAGTGTAAGATGTTCATCTTTCTTTTCTTTCTTTTTATTAACCAAAGCACCTACGTGAGTCCGCAGCCATCGCAGTGAAATAGATTATGGGACTCCATTGCATTGCAAGGTACGTGACCTCATGTGAAAGCACAAAAAACGTCGGTCGTACTGGGATCTGTTCTTGATATAAAACCCTAATGTCCTCAATCCCTTGAGCAAACAAACTGGAAACAGCTCGAAAGATCGTTTCGAGTGAAGAAACTACACATTTTAGCATCTGGGTTTGCAGCAAGATGAAGCAGGAATCTGCAGTAGATTTAGCAATCCTCTGCTCATGCATTCTTACGTTGATTGTCGGCAGCAATGCCGGAGGAATTGCAGTGTACTGGGGCCAGAATGGAAATGAAGGTACCTTGCTAGAGACTTGCGCCACGGGCAGCTATGACTTCGTCAACATAGCTTTTCTCCCGACCTTCGGCGATGGCCAGCAGGCCATGATCAATCTCGCCGGTCACTGCGATCCGACCGTCAATGGTTGCATGGGTTTGAGCTCCGATATCCAGTCCTGCCAGGCCAGAGGCATAAAGGTGATGCTTTCTCTCCGAGGAGACAAAGGCAGTCCCCCGATGACCTCCAAACAGGACGCCGCGCAAGTCGCGGCTTATCTCTGGAACAGCTTCCTGGGTGGCCATTCGTCGTCCCGCCCTCTTGGCGATGCGGTCCTTGATGGCATCGACTTTGACATCGAAGGAGGGTCCAATGCGCACTTCGACGATCTCGCGACCTACTTATCTGAATACGGTAAAAGAGGTAACAAGGTCTATCTAACCGCAGCTCCTCAGTGCCCTTACCCCGATGCTTGGCTCGGAGGCGCGCTCGAGACCGGCCTGTTCGATTACGTCTGGGTCCAGTTTTACAACAACCCTCCCTGCCAATTCAATTCCTCCGCCATTGACAATCTTGAAGATGCTTGGAAGCAGTGGATCACCATTCCTGCAAAGCAAATCTTCCTGGGGCTGCCTGCGTCCCCCGATGCTGCCGGCAGTGGCTTCATCACCGTCAACGATCTTTTGTCGGAAGTTCTTCCGAGCATTGAACGATATCCTGAATACGGAGGCGTGATGCTGTGGTCGAGGTACTACGATGATCAATCTGGATACGGTCATGCTATCAGGAAATATGTTTGACTTTCAAACATCCCGCCCTTGACCTGTAATAAACGAATTTGTCTATTTTATGATATATGCTGGTATAATCATTATTATCTAGTCGCCTACTTCTTCTATCATTAGATTTTATTTCCTTCTTTGGTAACTCCAAGATTACACATCATGCGAACGCCACAACATATGTTCGTGCAAGTTCCGTCTTATAATTTGTCCGAGGTCAAAATTTGTACCGATGACTTTTCTTGATAGAAGCACTCAGATATCGAGTGAGACCCCGCCGTCAATACTTGAAAATCATGTTCGGGAGACGGGATACATCTCCAAAGGACTTTCGCCCGAAGGAGGTCCCCGGTTGCTTTGGAATGCTGCATTCTTGGAATGCAAATACAATTTTTACTCTTCCAATTTTGCCCTCACTCAATTTTCAAGATATCGGAAATGTCTCCACCTCACGCGATCTCACTGACGAGGGTTTAGGCTGCTGGCAAGGCTATATTTGGCTGCCAGCAAGCCACTCTGGTGCCGGCCAGCCACGCCTAAGATTGCGGGAACCCAGGTGATGTCGCCTTAGGTCGTGCGACAGCGGCTGAGTTTCGCCGGCAAATAATTTGAGAGTTTTTTTTAAAAATAAAACGAGCAAAAGTCTTTACAAAGTGTAGGTTTTTGCAAATGGCATTTAAATCAGAATTGCTTCCTAATGAATTTTTCAAATGCACTTTACCAAATAATATTTGCATTTCGAAAAAATCCTTTTAACCCAAAGGGTTTTGCATTTTCTCAAAAACTTTCCCCCAAAACAGAACCAAAAGCACTCACGGTGAATATTGATTGCTTTTAGTAGTTAGGATTTGAGTCTGGATAGGATAACAAGTTGTCATATCCAATATTTGGGAACGTCCTCCAGACCGGACAAATCCGGATACGTCCAGATAAAACGTCGGATAAAAAATCCGGAGTGGGATAAACCCAAATTGGATAAGAAATCTTTTAATAAAAAAAAAACTTAACAAAAGAGGAAGAAATTGTAGGCATGATGCAACTGGTCTTTGAAGTTGCTCACAGGCGTTTGCATCATCGGGTCTTTGAGATGCCCTCTGGTTGTTCCAAAGAAAGTTCTCTTGCTCTTGTTCTCTTGTTGAACTCATTGAAGCAGTGCTTGCACCACCTCAAACATTGGTGGCTGGAAATCGGGCTCCGCCTGCACCACCTCATTGATACGGTGATGAATATCGTAGTGGACAAAAATAGGACTCCGCCGCGACGCCAGAATTCTCACGGAGGACACTGAACGTCTCAAGGGAAGAGGGGGAAGATGCTGATGAAGAGACTGTAAATCTTCAGCATGGCCGACAAAGCGGACCTCAATCAATCCGGCGACGCAAAGACAATGCCGGTAGTCGCTTGAAATTCCCCTGCCCACTCTCTTTGCTGAAGTTTTTTTAAATTTTTGATTTGATTATTTTTATTTTTTTGAATAATCTAAACGCTAAGTGAGGATTTTGAAATTTTTATTTTTTATTTTTTCGGCGTAAAAATTTAAATTTATTTCAAGTGGGTGGCGTAGGTATTCTGCGAATTTTGTGAAATTTTGAAATTTTTGATTTTTTGCTTTTTAATTTTTTTATAAAATTTAAATTTGCTCAAATTAGGTGGCGCAGGTATTCTAAGACATTAATGAAGTTTTTAAATTTGATTTGATTATTTTTTTATTTTTTGTGGCATCTAAAAAATTAAATTTATTTGAGTGGGTGGCGTAGGTATTTAGCGTGGCAGTAACAAAAAAATTTAAATTTATTATTAAGATGGTAGCGGGTATTCGAGACATTATATGAAGTTTTAAATTTTTTGATTTTTGATTATTTTTATTTTTTGGCATCTAAAAGAAATTAAATTTCAACTCAAAGTGGGTGGCATAGGTATTCTAAAGAATTTTTGAAATTTTTGATTTTTATTGCTTCAAAAATTTAAATTTTTCTTTGAAAGTGGTGGCGGATTACAAGCCATGAAGTTTTGAAATTTTGATTTTTAACTTTTTCGATTTTCAGGATGAGCGTGTGTTTTGAAGAAGAGTTACTCCTCAGAAATGATTCTCATTTTTGTCTAGGAAATAGAAAACCTACTTTTTTTTTGTTGATTTTACGGATTGAATGGGATTCTGAAACAAGAGTTGTTCTAGAAAATAAAAAAATTTGCTTTTATCGGCGCCCTTTTTTATCGTGGCCACTGTGGGGGCGATGGCCACAGTTCCTAAATCTAAGGTCTTTTATTAACTTTGAATTAATCGAATTTTCTCATTTTTAATTTTAAAATTTAATAAAATGTTTAAAATTTTTAATCTTATCCTGAAATGTACTAAGCACTTGATGCGATTGTAAGTATTTAATATCTCATTTGATCCTATCATATTCCAACCATTATCTCAACGATCAAACACGATTATCTGATTTCAGATTAGTTTCCTTCTTAACCTCGCCCGCCCCCATCGAAAGCTCAAAAACAAGCATCTTCGCCGCGTGACGTGACGTGACGTGACGTGACGTGACCGATCAATCGCATCGCCCGTCGCGGGGGGTGCGGCTCACGTGCGATACAACTTAGCCGTCGCTAAACGATGGGAAAAGGCCGTCTTATTGATGGGCTTGATTGCACCAAAAAGCTTCGTCGTCCGTGCATCCCGCGACCTGACGTGTCGGGCGAGAGCAACGTCGGTTCCGATTTGTGGGGATCCACGTCGTACCAGCCGACACGACTGTGTACCTCGTTGTCTGTCCCAAAAGCAGTCACCTTTTTCAAATTTTCAAACCCGAAAAAAACCAAATGAACTAATAAATGCCGCAACGCCATGATCGATCGGTCGGTCGTCGTCGTCGCTGAAACTCCATACAAAAATCCTGCCGTCCCTCCACGCGCACAGCGACAACCTCTCTCTCTCTCTCTCTCTCTCTCTCTCTCTCTCTGTCGTCGTGCCGGCCTCAATCTCTCTGCGACCGGTTCAAATCGTTGAAGAGAGCTTCGACAGCACTGTCGCGCACTAACCCAGTCTTCGCCTCCGTCTCCGTCCTCGGCATTTCGCATTCCGCGAGATGAGCGTGTGCTGAAGGGAAGGCGTCCGGGCGATCACGGAAGCGATGGCCACGAGCTTCGGTTCGAGGGCGCCCCACAATCAGAGGGCGAGCAACGGCGCTCATGGCTCTTCTTCTTCGTCGGCGTCGGCGCCGGCGGCGAGAAGTAACGGCAATGCAAGCCAGGGACAGAGCAATCGCCCCAAGGCACCGGGCTCCAGGCGCTCCGTCACCCCTAACTCCCGAGCGCACACCAATGCCGGCGCCGACGGAGGTTAGTTTTCCTCCCTCTGAGATTTGAGCAAAATGCATTTTCGGCTCCTGGGTTGACTTGGGTGGGACGGGTCGGTTCTCTGACCTCGGTGGGAACTGAGTTTCGCTTGAGCTCGACTTGATCAAGCGTTTCGTGACTCGAGTTCGGCTTCGGGTCAACTCCGAAGAAATTTTTGATTTGAAGCTGGAGCTCGAAGTCGAAGCTGAAATGCCGTTTCCGCAGTAGAAAGAAAGAATGAAGCTGGTCCTATGCTACCATGTAACTGTAGTTGAGATATGGAAAAGAATAAAGCTGACAACTTGAGTGATTTCATGGCTATTTAGTACTGCTCTTTAAACTCAGCTTCAAAAAGAGTGCATACACATCGAGTCATGTTGTCTATTGACTTTACTTCTTTAGGTTGGCATCACATTCTTTTATCAGCCGTGAAGTTGTTTCCAAATGTTTTCAAATCTAAATTTGAAAGTAGGAATTGCGACCGCAAAATGATTTTGCTGATTAAAGCTCGCTTTTTTATCGTAATTTCCATGATTAAGTGATTATTCAGGTGCTCATGGCAATAATCCATTAATTAAATAACTTTGTGCAACAAATAGTTTGTGATGCTTGGAACATCAGTTTTTATGATTTGGGGCACCGATTCAAGCTGGAGATCCCTTAGCCACCACGTATTCTCTCCCGCTACATTTTTTGCCTTACTTGGACCATGAAGCTGCTGAAAATAATATCGAGGTCATCAAACATTTGCATTTCAATTAGTCCGTGCACATATTATCAATGAGTTTGATTTCGTTTCATTCGATTATGAAGTTTGACGAACAATATAATCTCCTGCAGTTGAGAGATTGATGCATTTTGTCTGTTGCCTTTATCTTCTCAAGTTCTCAAGTTAAAGCTTGTTGGAATTACAGATTCAGGCAGGGTTAGAGTCGCTGTCAGACTTAGACCAAGAAACTCAGAGGATCTACTCTTGGACGCTGACTATGCTGATTGCGTCGAATTGCAGCCTGAGGTTGGTTATCTCTATTTAAAACCCAGACATATGGCTTTTCTGAGTTGGCACTGAATATCTGTACTGCAGTCTTACCACATGAACATAATGTTTTGCAAGGAACATCGGTACAGCCTTTGAGCTAAGTTAAATTTTTGTGCTTTCATGTAGATGAAGCGGTTAAAGTTGAGAAAAAACAATTGGAATTCTGAATCATATAGATTTGATGAAGTCTTCACGGATACTGCCTCCCAAAGACGTGTTTATGAAGTGGTAGCAAAACCTGTTGTTGAGGTAAGTAACTTAAGTGTATGAGCATCTTCACTGTTATGTATATGCAAATTGAAAGTGTGTACCTGGCACTAGCCTTCTGTCACAGGAACTCTATTATGGGATAACTTTATTTGTTGTTTCATTTTATAACGTCGGTGTAGAGCAATTTTGGTGGAGGGGTTTGTCTCAGAATTTGTCAGTGACCAAGTTAATATGGCCCACTATTTGAGTCTCCAATAAATATTTCATCATATGCATATCCAACTTATATATATAAACTATGTAATCTATAGGTGAGGGGTTGATAATCTCTGTTTACATAGGAAAAAGAGTGATGGACGTATTAACTCATAATTAACTTGCCAATAACATGATCCCCCAATCCTTTGGAATCATCTTCAAGAAAGACTCACAGAAAACTCTAAATAGACTTGGACCCTATGCTTCATAAAAAGCATAGTTTTATCGCTAGAGCAGAGCAGAACCAGCACAAGTATATAACCGGGTGTCATTTACTAAGTTTGAATTAAATCTAAGATGTTCTTACACTTTCCATGCTGGATTACTATGCCATTCAAAAAATTGAGTATCAGATTTTGAAATTTTGGATGACAAGAGTGCGCTTGGAAGTTATAACTTTTTGGGACTATATAGTGGTCTAAGTGTGCTATCGGAATTTTTTCTCTCTCTTCTTTTCTTTTCTTTTTTTTTTTGTGTGGGGGGGGGGGGGGGATAATGGAAGGCTTAGATCTGTCAGTGATTTTTGCTTTTCCTGCAGAGTGTTTTGAGTGGCTACAACGGGACTATCATGGCTTATGGTCAAACTGGCACTGGCAAGACGTACACAGTTGGGCGACTAGGCAAAGATGATGCATCAGAGCGTGGTATAGTGGTTAGAGCTTTAGAGGACATCATTTCTAATATTTCTCATGCTTCCGGTAGCGTGGAAGTATCCTATCTGCAGGTAATTAAGTTGACATGTGATGCAGTAACTGTCATGTTTTTTTTGGCTAGAACAGAGCTTACTGCCTAGCAAGAAAAACTGATTTATCAGCAATGTGCCATCTTATTTAAGTTTATAAGCTAGATGGATTTTGGAAGTTTTTTTTTTTTGGTAAGGCGGATTTTGGAAGTTTTTAGTCTACTTAATCAAATAACTATTCTACTCTTGATTGACCAAGGTCAGCCTTATGAGGCTTAATGGCTTATGTCTTGGAACTCTATTTCTTGTGATTATTTAAAGCACAAACTTGTGATATGAACTGCTTTAAATGCCAGCCACATTAATATGCTTTGTACTGAAACTAAGGTCCTGTCACCCAGTATATCATACACGAATAGCTTCTGTCTGTTTCTTGTCTTTCTGCATGCGTCTCTGGTTGATTACGCAATACTTGGTCAGGGCTTATTCTTGATGAAATAGACACAGAGGTTTTAATTGTAAAGTACCTCCACTAATTTCTTTTTTTTTTACTATTGCTTCTCAGTTATATATGGAATCCATACAAGATTTGCTTTCCCCAGAAAAGATTAACATTCCCATTACCGAGGACCCCAAAACTGGGGAATTGGCACTGCCTGGAGCCACAGTAGTTAATGTTCATGGTGTCGATCATTTTCAAGAGTTGTTGCAAGTTGGTGAGGCAAATCGTCATGCAGCTAATACAAAGCTAAATACTGAATCTTCACGCAGTCATTCGATTCTCATGGTGGGCATTTTCTATCGGTTTTATAGAATCATTGTACCTTAATTTCTAGAGGACCTTTTTGGTTCTTTTAATTGACGTGATGTTAACACTGAAGGAATGATTTTTAATCCTAGGTCAATGTTCGAAGATATGTTGATGGTCAAGATAAAGATGAGACCAATCTCCAGGACAGGGATCAGACTAATTTACCTCGTAGCAAGCCCATTCCTATAGTTCGCAAAAGCAAATTGCTAATCGTGGATCTTGCTGGATCAGAAAGACTAGATAAATCTGGTTTGTGACTATCCTATAATATGTTCTTGGAAGCCACTATTTCCTGATCCTTTGGCGACACTCACATTTGATACTGAACATATCTTTTATTCATTGTTATAGAGTTGTTTCCTGAAGTTTCCATGGCAAATCCACTGTGTTGCAAGTTCTACACTTTTCCTACTTTTTATGTTTGTCCTTAGGAATTTGGGTGTCCTGAAAAAGTACTTTATGTATTTTATTGTTATTGATGCAGGCAGTGAGGGCCATTTGCTTGAAGAGGCTAAGTTTATTAATCTTTCTCTCACTTCTCTCGGCAAATGCATAAATGCCTTGGCTGAGAACAGTGCACATATACCTTTCAGGGACTCTAAGCTGACAAGATTGCTTCGTGATTCATTTGGAGGTGCATGAATACAACTTTCAGCTATCCATTCTTAACTTAATACTAGCTTCCTAGAGATTGAAAAGAACTTTGAAAACTTTGTTTGTGACACTGACCTTCTAGTTACTAAATCAATATTCAAATCATTTAATTTAGTGCATTGTCTTACTTCAATCTTCAAATATTAAATATGCATTTACTGCCAGACTTAGTTGCGAGACATACCATATCCTTCAATCTTCAAATATGTACGTACATATTTTTTACATTTATCTCTATACATCACTGGTTGTGAATGTAACAACAGCTTCTCGGTGCTTTTCTATGTGCAAAATAATAGCTTCATCCGATTACATGCTATCATTCTTTCATTACTGTTTTTTTTTTTATTTTTTTAAGATTCGAGTGTGCTATGAACATCCTAGATGAATGATTCAGTTAAGAATTGGTTATTCAAGAATATCTCTGCAAACCTTCTTTCTCAGCTTGTCGATAGTTTTTATGTGATAGGTTCAGCAAGGACCTCGCTTATCATAACAATTGGGCCATCTGCACGACATTATGCTGAGACCACTAGCACGATTATGTTTGGGCAGCGGGTGAGATAGATAAGAGTTCATTATGCAAAAATACTGCAAATCATTGTGCACACATTGGTAGTAGACAATCAATAGCTTCTGAAGTTGAATTCCGATATTTATTACGATAATGAGTTCATCGTCACACCTGTATCGCAATGAGTTCCTCTATTGGACGGAGAACAATCAGAACCGCATTACTTAAAGTTTAAGGTTTTCTTTTCCTATTTGTGAATCCTGGTTTCATTTCAGATGAGAAGATGTTCATTGTGTCAACTTTAAGTTTGGTTGAATTAATTAGAAGATACAAATATCACTCTGTATACGTCTAAGAAGATGATGATTATGGTCTAACTACTCTTATCCGCCAAACAGAGCTGATTTCTGAGAATATTTCTTTTGGTTTTTACCTTTGTTGAGAAGATCATGACAGCAGCTGTAAAACAACATAACTACAAGTGACTTATATAAAATGATAAGAATGGTCCACTGATGGTTGTCGAAGATGTGCTGAAGGAATGCTGCTCTAGAAAGTCAAGCTGAAACTGGAAAGTGCTGAAGAAAAGAGGGAAAGAAAAGAATCCACTAGAGAATAACATAAACACATGGATATCCTTTTTGTGTGTGTGTGAGTGCAGGTGGGCATATTCATGCACATGGTGTTGAGTATATGCATGCCGACTGCACGTATGTCTCTGTATTAATGCAAGTGGATTTGTGTATGTGTGTATACATACATCATCTGCCAATCTTTTTTATTATAATGCCATGGAAGCTTGATTATGAGTTGCTTTTGCAGGCAATGAAAATTGTTAATATGATGAAACTCAAAGAAGAATTTGATTATGAAAGTTTAAGCCGTAAGTTGGAGAGTCAGGTAGACCACCTTACTGCAGAAGTGGAGAGGCTCGAAAAGTTGAGAGAGAATGATAAGGGCAAACTGGAGAGACAGCTTAAGGAGTGTGAAGACTCTTTTTCCAGGGCAGAAAAAAGTCTAATGAAAAGGTCCGAGGTAGTTGACTCTAATGCTAGTGTTACAGCTTCATTTAATATAATGACACCTTTTTATCACTGGTTCAGATTAGTTTCCTATCTCCTTGTCCGGTTTGTCTGGTGGAATAAATACAGTTTTCTTATACTTTCTTGAAATGTTTTTTCGGTGATGCTTCTTCATTTTCTTCCAGTTCTTAGAAAAGGAAAATGATCGTCTGGAGTCAGAGATGAAAGACATTTTATTTGAATTAAACCGCCAAAAAGATGAGAACGGTCTGATGCATAACAAGATTTCAGAGCACCAAGCAAATATAAATTACATCCAGGTACCTCCTTCATTCAAATGCTTTACTTCTCTGAAGACATTTCCTCTTTCCTTACTATGTTGTTGGTGCCTTCTTACTGAACATTCCATATCATGGTAGTTCTCTTTAATAAAATACGGGACAATGTGGCAGCATGATAGGGACTTGCTATCAGTTTTTCTAAATTGACTGGCGTTATGCTCTGAGAAGTTAGTGTAATTTTCCTGCAAAATTAGTGTTAAGGCCATTAACTTTTGTTCTACCTGCAGTAAAACTCATAGGTTGAAAATGCTCAACTAACTTGTCTATGAAAGGCACAATTTCTCAATTTTTTATCATATTGAAACCAATTCAAGTTCTTATGTAACCTGCAGACCTACTTTCCTAAAGCAAACTTGCATGCAGCCAGAGCAGGTGCACCTGGTCACTGTTGGGAAAACTACTTGATTGGATGCTAAGGAGTTGGCTTTTGAATCACCATCTCAAGTGTTAATTTAAATGTCTCATGACTAAGACCTAGTGACCTATGCCTCCATATGTTCAAGAGAGGACCAACACAACCTGAACTTCTTTCCCCAGTAGGCATAGGCAATCTCTTTACCGGTGTAGTTACAACTAGTCTCCTTATGAGATTTTAAAGCTTAAAACTCACCATTATTCTCTTCTTGAAAGCTTGCACATTTCATCTATTCTTAATTGACAATATCAGCTCAGCGGGTTATGTTCGACCCCAGAGCATAGGCTTGATGTCAGGCCGCGCTCTTCCACATCTATACCCATACACTTTTGCCATTTAAAGCCCACCCAATCAACTGAAAAGTGACGCTTGGTGCAAAAGATAACAAAAAGGAAAAAAATGGATCTGGGCAGGCTAGGTAAGCTGAATTTTTGAAGGCCCAGGCCAGGCTTGTCCATCCCAAACTCTGTATCCTGGATTTGGCTATGCTCAATACTAAAGGCAAAAGCGCTAGACCAAGCTTAATAAGGTGATTGGCAGGTGTGTCAAACCTCGAGGTAGCCAACCCTACGGTGGAAGTGGATAGATTGGGCGAGCCCCATTTAACCTGATTTGACTGTTCAATCCAGCTCCAGTAGCCAGCTTGTGTGTTTTCCCATTAATTTATGTCTTTTTATGGTTTGCCGTGGGCATAGTGCTGAAAATATTGTCAATGATATGTGATAGAGGCTGGGTCTTGAAAATAACCCTTGTAATCCTGCTAATTATCGTAGTGAAGTCTGTATATTGAGAATCAGCGACCTATGTTTTTCTCCTCATGGAATGCCTTGTAGGTTGTAATACTTCTATAGGTAATGGTTTCGGTTGCTGAGATAAAAAATGAATAATGTGGTCACAATGCTAATTCCTCATCCTGAAACCCATTCTTTCAAGGGTTAGTGTCCTAATGTTTAAGTAAGTGTGGAAGTAGGAAAAGATATAACACGAAAAGAGCAAACCCCGACATGAAATTTTAGAATGTTTGCTTTTCTTGATTTTATAGAATTATACAAAGGCATATGCAAACCATTAACTCTTCCGTATAAAAGTGAGACTAACCAATGAAGTCACTTGTGTTGTTACCTTTGTTTGGGTTATCTTGCTAGACCATCGTATGGCTTGGCCAGCACAACAGTAAGTTAAACCATATGGATGTCCAGAAGGAAGCTTGACAGCTGTCTTTCCCATTTTACATGCATGTGCATCATGATATTTTGTTCTATTACATTTATTAGACATCCTTGGACTTGGTATCAAACATAAACGGTTACATGCAACTTACTGTAATTCAGCCCGTTACTATAAACAAATTCTTTGTGGCTCTTAGGAGCAGCAGCGTCTAGAAGCATCTACTTATCAGAGCATACTAGCAGATACCACACAGATGTATGAGAAGAAAATAGCAGAGTTGATTAGGCAATCAGAAGAGGACCGTTCCTGTGCCATGAATGCCGAGGAACAATTAGACCGTATGAAGGAGCTTTTGAGTGATCATCAGACAACTATTCAGGTTGGTGAAGAAAAAAACGTACTATTGGCAGTATCTTTAATTAGGCATGCCCTGTCATGATTTTTAGAATGCATAGAAGCAACGCGATGAATTGAGATATTAGGATCTCCTGTATGATACTAGAACGTATACTATAATTTCACATCCAGTTATCTCAGAAACTAATATTGCGAAATTTGCTTTTTTTTTTTTTTTGAAATTTGCTAATTTGCTATGCTTATTTTGGATAGTCTTTTTTTATTTTTAATTATTTGTAACTTTTGCAACATTCTGAAGGCAGTTTTTTTCCCCAATATTAGCAACATGAGATGGAACATTGTTCTTATCAGAAGACACTTGATGAAACTACTCAGATGTATGAGAAGAAAATTGCTGACCTAATGAAGCAATTAGAGGACAAACATGGCCGTTTTGAAGCCGTTGAAGAGCAACTCAATTTGGCGAAGAAGCTTTTAAGTGATTCTCAGAGCTCCATGCAGGTTTATTTCTTGACTAGCCTTTTCCTTTATAGCGGCACTTAAATGAGTCGAGTGGAAATAGAGGAGCACTACTTCAATAATTTGCGCTTAATGTAACAATTTTGAGTAATGTCCCTTTAGTTAGTAATTTGCCTTGGGATGTCCAAAATACAAAGTTCTGCAGATTACACTCTCCAATAAATAAAAATTCTAAAGATTTAATATTCTAAGTTTTTGTTAAATAGTATATGGTGTTTTGTTATAAGATACTCTCTCTCTCTCTCTCTCTCTCTCTATAAGATTTACATTTTCAAGTTATTGAAAAATATTTAAAAGAGTACAGGATAATAATTTGGCACCCGACAAGGCTTTAAAACATGCACAATAGACCTTGTTGTTATTTTGAAGGCATCTTATATGTAGCTGAACCAGTTCCTGAAGAGAACTCATTAGCATATCTTCAGTCATAAATATTCTGTTGGTTCTCCATATTGGCATCTTCAAGTATTCTGTCATGCCTGAACTAGGAGGGAAAGTATTGAGAGGGGATTTGCTACTTGAGTCTTGACAAGTACCTGGAAAAATATGTATTTTTCAACTTTATTTAATAGATCGGTTTATATTTGAACTAGGATATCTCTGTGAAGTTTCATAATTGCATTTTCCTTTACAGTCTACTGTTACTTCATCATCAGATATGCATAATGATTCTATCTTAGCTTGATGTTGTATATCAAATTGATTCTCTTGGAAATGATGTTGCTGATATTTAAGTCTTGTTAATTAAGGGGGAAATTTTTAATCTTTCATGGACCATTTTCATTATAGCTCTGTTGTTATTTTCATGTTTAGGGGCAAAAAGAGATCAACGAACTCAACATGAAGTTAGAAGAGATGCACAAGCTTCATGAGGAAGGTGCAGATGAACTTCAATTCAGAAAAGCGGGATACGAAGCTCTTTTACATGAGAAGGTGTGGTGGACAAATTTCCTAACAAAATTTCCCTATTCAAGTATTACTTTAGTGCAATTTGAGCCAACCCATGACGGCACAAATAATCACATGCAAGATAATTCCCAGTGGAGTTAAAGACTTAAACTGATTTGTTACATGCTTATTGCAATGAAAGGTAAAGTTAACGGAAGACCTTCATACGATGAGGGAAAGACTTCTACAAGAAGAAAAGCAGAGGAAGAATATTGAGGATGAGCTAATTAAGGTAAAGAAGCTTGTAGCTGATAACGAGAAAGATCAAAAGGTAAGTTGAGTTGGAATTCATAGAGAAAGGACACTCTTTCGGTTCTGGACTAATATGGGCAACGATTATACAGGAGAAGCAACTAGACATGAAAGAAAATGTTGGTAAAGGGTCTTCACCAAATTGTTCTATGGGGGTTCTCCATAAATCAAACCCATTTAAGGAGACACAATCAAGTCAGAGGACCACGATTGCGAAAATATGTGAAGAAGGCAAGATAGATCCCAATATATCTCACAGCTTAGACCTGTAATTTTCTGTTAATCTCAAGGATGACCGCAACTTACAATTTGTTTCTTTGATGAAGTTGGTATGGAAAAAATATTAGCATTATTAGCATCTGAAGATATCGATGTCCAAATTCATGCCGTGAAAGTGGTGGCTAATCTTGCTGCTGAAGGTATGTAAAGTATTGCCAATAGTTTCTAACTTTCAGTGATTGCATGCGTCAGTCCTACCTGTCTAGCACTAGTGGCACCCTCACTTGGGATTGCGCAAGTTCTTTTTGAAGATTGGGCAACATTTTATTTTCTCAATAGGGCTTGTAATGATAATTGCTGAGGAAAGAAGGCATTATAATGACTGAAACATTCTTCTTTTGTTGACTTTCCTAAGTGAATACGAAGATAGTGCTGTGGTTGAGTGGTAACTGGTAAGTCAAGGATGAGAGTAAAGGAGAGGAAGTGGTCTAACAATCACTTAATGATGTTTGGGACTTGTCTATCTTAATGACTTGTTAAGTTAAATGTGGTTAAAAGAATGTGAAAATATGGAGGCTGTCCATCCTATTGTAAGTAGAAACTGAATACTTGGGAGATTTGCTACATGAAGATATTTGTATTTGCTAGGAACATGAAGATTTATGTTGGTCAGTTATTAACGTTGGAATTTCATTTTTCTTTTTTATTGTTGAATGGGATTACATATCCTATAAATATATTGTTACGTCATTAGGGAACCATTTCATGCAAAGCTTTTCTTAATATGATAAGGAAAAAATATTAAGGAGTAGCAATGGGACACTTGATAAATGTTTTATTAAATGTTCTTTGGAAACTTAAATTTGACTGTATGAAGTGACTTTATTAAATTGTGTAAGTCTTCCATTTTGGAAGTGTCTTGGATAGTGTTATTTTCATTTTACTCAACTAGTGCCCTAGGGTATTTGTTAACAAGATCCATATGATAAATCTAAATAGTTTGCAAAGTCTAAATCTTTCAAAAAAGTTATGCAGGATAACAACATTTAGGAGGTAACCTGACTAATAAATTTTATCAACATGGAGATACGTACATGGGGATTGTCAGTGGCTCAACTAATCATAATACTATCAATATGACAGCACAGTTATGACCAGATTTCTTTCCTCGTCAAAATTCTTGATCACTGCACGAGTTGTTTCATGGTTTCTGCATGATTTTATAGTTAAAGTAATGCTCAATATTAAGAAACTCCTCATATTTCTAGATCTATAAGTAAATTTTGCCGGGTTCCTTTGTCAGTTGGTTTTGTCTTTTCTCGTTTGTATTTCTTGAGAATTTTCCTTTTCTTATGTGATTTTCAACAGCATGGCCAAGTCTGTCCTTCCAGTAAGTCTTCATGTCCACTAAACTGACATGGTGGTGGATCTAAAATTCCAGAGCATATGAATTTGGTTATGAGGGAAAGGAGTCTAACCTATATTCTTAGAAATTCCCAAGAATTGCATCCATCGCTATCGTTTTCCAAATTGGGAGTACACAAATTTTTACTATCTAATCTGCTAGACCATCTAGCATGCTAGGTGATGTACCTGATTTGATGCTCTGACCTCAATGTTATTTGTACTTCCAGACATTCATCAAGAAAAAATTGTGGAAGAAGGAGGCTTGGATGCACTGCTTATGTTGTTGCAGTCATCACGAAATGCAACTGTGCTTAGAGTGGCCTCTGGTGCCATTGCCAATTTGGCAATGAACGGTATTTCAAGTCCTTCACATATTTTTATTTTAACATTGTGGCTTCTACTTAACATGTTGCTAATTGAGTCTTTTTTTTTAACAAGTATCAAGTCTTATGCAGTTTCTTTGATTGAAATGGTGCTTTATCATTGCTGGTAAAAGCTTGCAGAAGACAATGTAGTGATCTACTGTTATTGACTCTATGCAGTAAAAGTTTTACACAAAAAGTTTGATTGAAATGGTGCTTTATCATTTTCCTGAACTTGCTACGGATTTTCTGTGAGATAACTGGTTAAAAAAATTCAGAACACCTTACTCAGTGAAGTAGAACTAGCTTATACACGATGAAGATTTTAAGAGCAAAGAACTAACGATAGCTGATATTAACATTCGCTTTGAATTTCGGTAGAGCTAAAAGTTTGTACTTTGCTTCCCGAAGCAGTATTCAAAGGGTAACAGACAGAAATGTCTTTGACTTATGACATCAAAGTGCCATGTACATTCCATTCTATGCTCTATCGGGGTTCTCACTTATCACGTTCTCACTGGGTACAGCCACTTACTAGTCAAAAGATAGGAAAATACTTTTTAGAAGCTTGAAAGCCATCGTGTAGACTTTCTGACACATCATGCTTTGACCTGTGTATTTTGCATTTTGAGAGTAACAATGATAATCATGACCATCTTAGTCGAGAAAATTGGGGAATAATCTTTACATTGTACTATGTATTTTTTCTAATTTCTTTCTGATTTTTTTTGAATTTTTTTTATCACTTCTGAGATATAGTTGAATTTGGAATCAGATAGTGTTAGCAGTTTTAACTGAAGCCATCGAACCGGTTTGTTCAACCTTTCCAGATTTGAAAGATTGGTGCAAATTGTCCATCCCACTGGAGTAGTGTTCCAATGGCATTTCATTATTCAACTCATTATCTCACTAACTCCAACTCATGTGCTTGTCCATGTTAGAGTTGAACCAAGGCTTGATAATGAGCAAAGGAGGCGCTCGGTTACTTGCAAATGTAGCATCTACAACAGACGATCCGCAGACTCAAAGAATGGTGGCTGGTGCAATTGCTAACTTATGTGGAAATGGTGAGCTGAAGTTATCTTTGACACTAGTCCAATGCTTTAGTCTATCATGTGCTCTCCACTACACCACATCGGTAGAGAGTGTCGTGCCAAAACATATTTCTTTTTTCGTAGTCACTCTCTGGTGCTATTTCTTGCCCCTTTCTTTCAAATAAAACAAGAAACTTTTTGGATCAAGTAATTTTTAACATATATGCCAGAAACTAGAAAAGAGTTTTTAATTTAGTTTTCTGAAAGCTCCAACATAGTCTTTGTAATTCAATTATGTTGGCTTCTTCATCCTCTCTAGTTTATCTTCCTGTGGTGAGAAACCCAGTTATTTGGTCTAACCTGTACAACCTCGTTTGAGGGACATGAATTGAGTAGAACCGGGTTTTTAATCACACGTATATATGATTTTTATATATGATATAGGAACTACATGTTGCTTCTGCTTTCTCTGTGCTGATGTTTATTTAGTGGACTGATGCCCTGAAGTTTGCATGTGACAGAAAAATTGCATGTGATGTTGAAGGAAGATGGAGGCCTGGAAGCACTTCTGGGAATGGTTAGATCAGGGATTAATGATGTCACGGCACAGATTGCTAGAGGATTCGCTAATTTTGCCAAATGTGAATCCCGAGCGGTTATTCAAGGTTAGTCATTTCTTCTCTTCAGGATGTCACTTGATAACACTTGGTAAACCAATGGCCTTTTATTCTTTCAAAATCTGAGTCGACTTCCTGTAGGACATCGGAAAGGCCGTTCACTTCTCATGGAAGATGGTGCCCTTGAGTGGTTGCTTGCAAACTCCGACTGCGCTTCTACTTCAATCAAGCGCCATATCGAGCTCGCTCTGTGCCACTTGGCGCAAAACAGTAATCTATTCATCTTTCACGTGGACATTCAATGTCGCTTGAATAAATGATACGACAGACATTACTTTACTGGAACGAGTGTTTGGCAGGCATCATACTATTCTTGTTTTTTATATGTTTTTAATGGAGTCACGTTGCTTTTTTCAGAGGATAATTGGAGGGATTTCATGTCCAGTGGGGCAGTGAAACGAATACAAAGAATTTCAGTTGAATCCAGTAGAGAAGACATCCGGAACCTAGCGAAGAAAACTTTGAAGCTCTTCCCTACGCATCAAACCGACCTGTACCCTACCCATCAAACCGACTTGTACTGAGAGTAGCCACTTCCCAAATATATTACAGTGCGTATACTGTATATTGAGATGTACCTCCTGTTTATGTTCTTAGTAGAATTGTATTAAACTAGAAACCTCTTTCTCATTATATTGACAATGCATTTTCATAAGCTAAGATTACACGAGCCATGTTGTAGACTTCCAGTGCGTTTGCCTTACATGCTCGCGCTGTAAAGGACTTCAGATTTGAGAGGAAAGATCAAATTAGCGATTGTCGTCACACTCGGTACATACACATTTTTTATAAACGCATCTACTAAGAATAATCCTCTCAGGCTGCCAATTGTACTCTATTTGAGTAAAAATAGTTATTTCTCTCCTGGAGAAAACTCAATTCGTCTGAAGTTTCTTGTCTTCCTTTTGAATTTAGACCATTTAGCCTAGATATCTGATTTTGCAAAACAGCCTGCATATGACGAACTCGGTTCGCTGATTGATGCTTAACTTAATGGGATCTGATCCTGTAGAAATTGCAGAAACTTCTTTGCACAGATCTTTAATGCCGAAGAAATCTCCCAATTTTCATTGGTCATAAGTTTCAGAGTGTTATTTCAAGCATATGTGGACTCGTGCGTAGCATGAGTGAGCTGCTAGTACTCACAATTATGCTTTGTAGGAAGTGTATGGTTGTGGTGCTTGCAGCCAACCACCTGCTAGAGTGGTCACCCGCCTCATTAGAGCCGGTGTCCACCTCTAGCCGCCATCGCGCCAGCCTCGGCTCCTTGTCTCTGGCCGACACCACGAGCTGCATAGATGCTCTCTACCCCTAGTCATCTCTCTCTCTCTCTCTCTCTCTCTTAATACTTCTTCTGTTTGGTGGTATTGGAGGTCCATGACTTCATAACCAAGGTCGGTGATGGTGATCCAAATAGCGACTCCCATGATTCTTGTGAAGAGGGTGGTAGGTGATGGCAGTGGTGGATGTGGCCGGGGTCGGCAACGGTGACAACGACGGTATAGTGAAAGACGGGGGCAAGTACATTTCAGGACAATGAATTTGAGATGCCTACTGTCATCTTCTTCGCAAGATGAATTAAGAATGACCACTTTGCGTAGCAATAGGATTACATCTTCCTCGACAACACTTCATCACGATATATAAGTCTGACAAAGCTTATAAAGTATTCAAACATGGGTTTAAGCATCTCTAGGAGGACTAGCCTTGCATATCGGTCTCTCTGTGAACAGCATACCATATGACACCGTGAAGAAATATATCATCAGAGCCACTCCGACTGCTCCCACCAGCACGGTCACCGTGCGGACCGCGTAATCGCTCCCGCACGAGAGCTTCCCGAGCTTGATCTGAGCGACATTGACCATCGCCAGGAGCAAGAACAGGCACCCAATCACCGTCCCGTAGATCGCCAGATAGAACGCCACAAGGCTGGGCACCTTCCTGTGAGGGTCCGTGTACTTCTTCCTCTCGTAGATGTAGAGCACAATATTCGCGGTCTTCCCGAGGAAGCCCGAGAAGATGAAGAAGCTGAAGGACGCAATCTCGTAGAAGATGAGCTGCTTGCGGAGCTTCAAGTCAGGGTCGCACTCGGGGCGGTCCTCCTCGAGGCTGTGGACCTGGCCAGGGTTCGCCAGCGAGAGGCCCACGAACATGGCTACCGTGAACCACGAGTTGAGCCCCACGATGCCCTCCAGCACTTTCTGGAAGTACTTCCTCTCGTCCACCGTGTCCCCTTCTTCTACTTTCACGCCATTCCTAGAGAATGAAGAGGAGAAGGTCAGAAACAAAAGCATAACGATTTACGTATGCAGCGAGAAAACAAGAGATGCATCGAAAAATCATAGTAAAAGTTCGGGATAGAAAGAGAGATGCCCGTTTCTGGGAGTCGCCATGGGAGAGATATCCTTTCTATTTGCTCTTCTGTATCTTTTCTTGTTAAGCCTTTTAGACTTGACGATGCAACCATGCGCCGAGGCTTAGTGTGGGAGACAATTCCTAGTTTTTCTTCCTTTAAATTGAACCTCGGCGCAATTCTGACCGCACACGAATAATGTAAACGTGTCGCACGACCATTTGGTTGTACGAACCGATTCGTGTGCGCCTGAACTCGTTCTATTACACCGAGCCGACCGAATCACGAGAATCTGTCGGATTCGAAGATTTATTATATCGACGTGATTTGAGTGTCTATCCATCACATCTTTACAAAACGGGTCTACCTAATGAATGCTCGTGGAGTCTGCTGGACGTTAGATGGAGTCCGTAATGAGCTAGAATTACCAAATATTAACCTCGGTCCATGATTGCAGAATGTCATGAAGATGGAGATAGCAACCCGCAGATGCACCGAAGCCACCGTTTTTTACACAGTAAGCTTGGACAGCGAGTGAAGTTGATGTGCATCTTCCGTTCAATATCCTCGGACCTGAAGTTTGTTAGTTGTTGCTACCCTCACCTGCCACTACATTGGCAGGTTCTGTGTGGAGTGTGTACAAAATATCGCGCGGACCATAGGGATGACAATTTTATCCGTCCAAGTGACTATAGCGCCGTCCCGCTGGGGCGAGGCTCGTTGGAAAGGGGGAAACTTTCATGCCCTGCCATGGTCCACCCCGCAATCTTCACTTTACAAACTTTGTAGACCTAATATCTTCAGATGATTGGTATACATCTTGGATTTCTCTCATCATATGTCTGTTGTAAAAAAAATGGCTTCGAATCAAAAGAGCAATCAAGTCAGACTTTGAGGCGTAATATCATTTTTCTTAAGGATTTATTTGCCCCACAATGTTGCTAATGGTCACCGGCAAAATCCTCCAGGATACAACAAAGTCTCAAGATGAGAATACTAGATAGCATTTCTAGTATTTCTCCAAGGTCTCTCTAGGAAACAATTGAAAATGATGGCCGTAGTTTTCGAAAGAAGACTTGAAAAATTGATTTTTTCTCTCCTTCTTGCCAAAAACTGACATATATAGAAATCGGTCTTAAAGAACATATGCAACTCTTCACGAAAGGTTGCAAAGCTAACAAAGATATTCATTCGGAAGAAGTTGCAAACTGAACAAATGCAACCCTTCGGGAAATATTGAAAACTGAACAAGAATAATCTCCAAAAGTTATCTTGAAAAGACACATGTAAAATTCGGAATAAAATAAAATAAAATATATATAAATAAAATTCCGAATTTTCATAATTTCGAAAATTATTTAATAAACAAAAAACAACCTTTCAACTAATAAAGATTAATGAGATAACCTTACGAAATAAAATAAAAAATAAAGGGATTAGTGCTAAGTGCGCCTAATAATCGCGCACCTGCACGCGGGTATTGTGTGGACTAGCACACACCCCATTGTCTTCTTTACTCTAAGGAGCAAGAAGATATTCACAGTTATAAAGTGGCCCACTTTCTCAAAACTTTCCTATGTGGGACAAAGGAAAAAGCATTATTTTGTTTGTTTTACAAACAAACATCCAACAATGTCATGCATCCCGAGCTGGATTTCTTAGCGGTGAACATTTTTGCGATTGCATTTGTGTTATCTTTTAAAGACTCCGACCTCTCTGACGTGAAATCAATAAATTAATTGATGTAACATACTGCTAGTGGACACTTGTATAAGTAAAGAATTTTTCAAATGTCAAGAAGGGTGGGCCACATTATTTACTTTACCTCTTTCAATCATAAGAAAACATCTTGGTCATTTTGCTTCTCTTTGGAATGAGGTTGCGGGGAGAGAGGAGGGGGTCGTACTATTTGTTAGATGCTAAAGAACTACACTATAAATAGTGTTGAAAGTGTTAAGATCAGTTCATAAATGCTGTTACATTTGAGATGCTCGAATATGAGATACTAACAATATGTGCATTCTTAAAGTTGAAATATTTTGAAAAATCTGTTTAATATTTTTAACGTTACTTCATAGCGTAAACCAGATATATCTTCTTTTTTTTCCCAATGTCAGGGATGATCATAGAGAAGGCGTTTTATATGACGAAAACATCACGTGGCAATGAAATGAGGAGTAACCAATCAATCAATAGCGAGATACATAAACACATGGTGCCAAGTAGAACGAGATTCATAATAAGTGGGCAATCGTGATTTATCAATCACACCATGTTTCACTGCCACGAAGTTTAAAATACATTTTCACTATCATGACACGTATATATTTTCACAGTAAGTAACTACTCAAATGACCGTCACATGCCAACATTCGAAATCCATCTGTTGAAGGTTTTTACTTTTTTGTGTTGGCAGTGTTTCTTTTGAAAACTCGACATTGAAAAAAAGCCAATCACTTTCATACGGTTCTTGCTTGTTTGATAACACATTTGGATCTTTCTTATTAAGAAGTCAAATATGATAATCTACTCGTGTAATTAATTTTGCTCTTGTTAATCTAGCCACTAATAACTAGTCAGACACTTAAATTTATTTTGGGACTTTGGCCTAATGTGCAATGTGATTCTTGAATTTTTAATTTGTTCAATGTGGTGCCTCAACTTTTAGCCCAATGTTCAATATGGTCTTTGAGCTTTTAATTTATTCAATGTGTTACATAAACTTTGAGCCCAATGTGTAACGTGATCCCTGAAATGAAAATGTTCAATATTGTCTCTTTATTGCATATTGGGCAAAAAATTCATAAATTATATTGTACATTAAGCATAAATTTAAGGATTATTTTGTGTCATTATTCCATTTATTTTTTATTGATTGCCAAAGTATTGCCGATCCGTAAAAGAATGAAAGAGACGTAAGTGGCCAGCTCACGGAGAAAAAGCAGTGGCTGCCACATGTCTGTCCCATTCGGTCTTTCGTGGAGACAAGCATTGGCCCCGCAACTTATGTGTTTTCTTTCTTTTTTCTGTTTTTGGCTACTCCTCGTACATGATCAGAAGCAAGAAAGACGGAGTTTTAAGCAATTTTGTGCCTTTTCAAATGGATTAACAGTACCAGTAACTCTGCTAGTAGAAAAAAACTTACACAAACGATCTCATATATCATTGATTTGATAAAAGCAAGAGTCATAATCCTCGAATCAAGAATTGTTTCGAACTTCATATTTTTTGGAATGAATATTTAGGGAATCCCCTTGTATACGATCAAATCTTATTTCACAGTACTTACATAAGATTCATCTTTCTTATTATTAACCAAACCCTTTAGAGGCCCTAGTTGATCCATGATTTACGTTTTGTCTTACGTTTCTTTCCCGTTTGTTTGGAGGAATATATCGATCAATTCTGGTTGTATATAATTTTTGTCACGATGCTCAAATCAAAGTGGATCAGGCCGTTTGCATAAATTTTTTGGCAATGTGTGTACTCTATTTTTTCGATGAACATTTCAAGAAGTAATCAATTCAGCACTTAGCGAGAGTTGTCACATTCAGTTAATGTATGATTTCTGTAAATCAATGTCGACTATTAAATGGAAACTCATTCGAAGGACGTGCAATAAACATGGAATGCACGAGAAGATAGCACCTTCACTTAAGACATACCGTACATACATGGACCTACGATATATCATCTTACTGGATATATGTTATATGATAAGTCCATATTTTAGATTGCCCTACTAATGAACTTCTCGCCTCTCATCGTCACACCTTCCCAACCGCGGCGGGAACACCCTTGCTGGTCTCCGCCGCCTTGCCTTGGGGCGGCGCGTTCTTGGCGGTGAACACCAGGCCGTAGGTCACTGTAGTGAAGTAGATCAGCAGGCTGAGGCCAATGGTGCCGACCATGACGGAGACAGTGCTGACTGCAAACTCGCTGTCGCACGAGAGCCGGCCGAGCTTGATCTGGACGACGTCGACCATGGCCAGGAGCAGCAGTAGGCACCCGACCATGGTCATGTAGATCGAAAAATAGAACCCGACAAGGCTCTTCCACTGGCGGTGTGGGTTCTTCACGACGCCGCCGGGCAAGCCATCCCGCTTCTTGTAGATATAGAGGAAGATCTTGACGGTCTTGGCGAGGAAGCCGGAGAAGACAAAGCAGCTGAAGGAGGCAATCTCAAAGGCTACAAGCCGCTTGCGTATCTTGATGTCCGGGTGGCAAGTGTCGTCGTCCTCGAGGCTATGGACTTGGCCCGGCTGGGCGAGGGAGAGACCGACGAAGACGGCGACGGTGAAGAGGGAGTTGAGGCTCACGACGTCGTCGAGCACCTTCTCGAAGTACTTCCTCTCGTCAACTCGCTCCTCTTCATTTTCTTCTGCGGTGGGTTTGCTGTTCTTGCTGTAGACAAGCAATAGAAGAAAGAATGAGTGGAGAGAACGAGCTCCCAAAGAGAGAGAGAGAGAGAGAGAGAGAGAGAGGTAGGTTTTTACCTGTCAGCCATGAATGAGAGCTAGCTTGAGGTTGGAGAGGAATTTCTCGTTGGTCTGTGATCTTATCGGAGGATCCCATGACATTGTTGGTTGCTTATAAGGGAAAGTGATGATAATAGGGAAATGTTGACTTACACGTTGACCATTTAAATTCATCACTAAAATCAACTCTGCAAAAATGTTGGTACGAGAATAGACATTTGAGAATTGGAAGGTGAACTCAGGTAGTCCAATTCAGTCGTTCCAACGACCAACTCAGCCTTTCGGTGAAGCAGTTTTTTTGTTTTTGGGTATGATAAAAGAGGAGTGAATTCCAAAAAAAAACCCAACTTAGGTCAAATCCTAAATCTATCCCGAACTTTTTTTTGTCTAAAAAAAAAACCTCAAACTTTAGGTTAGATCCCAAATCTACCCCAATCTTTTTTTTGTTTCAGAAAAAAACCCAAAACTTTAACTTCAGTCTTAAATCTAACCCGAATTTTGTTTTGTGTAAAAAAATCAGCAAATTTTATTTATTTTCAAAAATATACTCCCGTTAGCCAGTCCCAACTTCACGTGGCACTTCGATGTCGATAACAAATCTACATCAGCAAAGTAATGGAGTGATAGGTACAGGCCGATGTCGCATTTCCACTTCGATAACAAATCCAACCCAATAAAAATTGTTGACCGATCTAGAATATGAAAGTTAGGGATGATAACAAATCCACCCCCAAAAAAAATTTTAATATAAAAAAAAACCCAATTTTTAGGTTGAGTCAAAATTTGCCTCGAACTTTTCTTTATCTAAAAAAAAGCCTCATTACTTTGTTAATGTGGATTTGTTATCGACATGGAAGTACCACGTCAAGTTGAGACTTGATCACGGGGGTATATTTTTGAAAATAAATTGAATTTTGATGATTTTTTTTACACAAAACAAAATTTGCAGCAAATTTGGGACTAAACTTAAAGTTTGAGGTTTTTTCTGAGACAAAGAAAAAGTTCGGAGTATATTTGGGACTGGACTTAAATTTTGGGGTTTTTTTTAGACAAAAAAATATTCGAGACATATTTGGGACTGGACCTAAAGTTTGGGGTTTTTTTTTAGACAAAAAAAAGTTCGAGATAAATTTGGGACTTGACCTAAAATTGGGATTTTTTTTAGGGAATTAGGCCGATAAAAGAGTGCCCAAATCTGGCAAATTACAAATCACTCTCAGGAGAGAGTTCAATTTAAGAATATTCAACATTTTTCATACAATTCAAAAACTAAATTGAACATGTACGTAAAGTCTAGAGACCATATTGAACAAATTTAAAGTTAGGGACAACATTGAGTATTGGGCTAAACTTTAAGGATCACATTAAACAAATTTAAAGTTCAAGGACCACATTGCATATTTAACCAAAGTTTAGGGATTATTTGTGTCATTTTCCCAAACCCTAAGCACTTGGAACCAAGTCTTTAGGGATTTGGCGCTTGGGCTTGGTTCCCCCAAGGTTGAACCAAGGACCCTAGCAGCCGTGTGTGAGTCCTCGTTGCTTGTGCCAAGGGCCCCAGTGGCTAGCTTGGGTACCTCACGGCACGAGCCTAGGTTCCGCTGAGGCTAGGCCTTAGACCCTAGCAATTGGGCCTGGTTCCCTTAAGGCCAGGCCTTGGATCCTCGTGCTAGGGCCACGATCCCTCAAGGTCGGGCTCGAAATCCCTGAGATGGGACTTAGGTCCCTTGAGGCCTGGCCCAAGACCTTGGTGCCTGGCTCGGGACTTTGACATCTGAGTCTAGGACATTGGCACTCAGGCCTAAGTCCCTCGAGGCATATCTCAAGATTTCGACGGTCGAGCTCGGTTCCACCAAGGCTTAATACATGTCCACATGCATGGTATATCCAAACTTTTCTAACTCGACATCATGCATTCGTAAGGCTCCACTCACAAAGCGACAGTTGTAGCCTTAGAAAGTATCCTGAGCTGAACATGTAGTGGTTTGATCGCTAAATCTGCATAAACATAACCCTGAGAGTTTTCAAAAACATTTTATAACAAAATTCGTCTAGTACTATCTTAATCAAAGGTCATCGACGTGGTTCACGAGATAAATAGTGCTCATATGAAAAAGTCGCTCATACCTATTGGATGTCAGTGTTCATAATAGACAACACTTCATCGATAAGAGACTGGTCGAGTGGTTAAACGCTTGGTTAAGACGCAACAAATAATATGTTCATACCTAAGCATTCCATTCAGATCAACCTTGGGAACCATACACATTACTCTATGGTTTACACGTAGTCATGGAGATTCATAGATTCAAGTAAAAAAATAGCAGACCGAGACCACAAAAGTCTAGGTCATACCCAACGTGAATAATGTGGATAGGAACTCCCGGTGTTCTTGGGCCCCCCTGTAGCAAATTAGAAAATGACAGTTCGTCTCTTTTATACAAAAGAAAGACAACGACGTTATTTTTGTTGGTCGTGCAAAGTCATTCTAAGGAAGCGAATTCACTTACATCCATAAACTACTTTTGATTACAGCCTAAGCGAATTGTTGTCTCACAAAGCAAAATTACTTGCTTCCTACTAAGGAAAATTGCTATTTTAAAAAAAAAATTACAGCCTCGTCCAGTTACTACTTTTGATTACAGATACCTCCTATAAACTTTTACTCCATTCACTCACTTAGAAGTTATATCAGGAAAATTAATTATCTAAAAAGTCGTAAAATTATTGTACAACAGCCAATTTAGTTCTGAACTTTTAATTTGGCCAATTTAGTTATAAACATTTTGATAATTTTCCAATGTAATGCATCTAACCAATTTTGACCGGAAACCCTTAACGTGGTAGTTTAGTCAGTTGGCCGTCCTTCATGACATGGCCGGCTGCTAACCCCTACTAACATGGACAATTTTTGTAATTTATTTAAATTTTCTGAATTTTTCCCGTGTTTTCTTTGTTCAACTTGACTAATTCTAGGGATTCATACATATTTTTTTGTTGGGAAAATTGCCAAAAAAAAGTCTTAAAAACCCATTGCAATTGTGTCAATTTATTCTTAAACCTTTTTTTTTCCAATTGAGTCCTCAATCATTTTTATTTATGCTAATTTAGTCCATCCGGTCAATTTTGACCGGCCGGCGCTGACATGGACGTCGGCTATCCTACGTGCTATGGCAGGCGCTAACGTGGACAATTTTTAATAATATTTTAATAATTTTCTTATTTTTTTATTCCTTTTTTTCTTTCTCTTTCTTTTTTTTCTTCCCTTCTTCCTTTAGGAGGTCACCCTTGCCGGCCCTCGCCTCTAGCCGGTCGCATCCGGCGACCTCCCAAAGGAAGAAGGGAAGAAAATAAAGAAAAAAAGGGAAAAGAAATAAAAAAAATTACAAAAATATTAAAATATTATTTAAATTGTCCATGTCAACGTCGATTGCGCCATGTAGGACGCCGGCATTTACATCAGCAATTTCTAGCTAAAATTGATTGGATGGGAGAAAATATTAAGTGGTTTCAAAGCATCACACCCATTGCTAATGTAGAGCTCGCCATCAAAACTCACAGCCATGGATAATCCGCAATTGCCATGTCTGTGGATAAGGCTCCTTGCGAGCCATGGACAAGCAAAGCTTGCAGCCATGGATGATGGAGGACCCCTACCGACGTCACTCACGGTTGGCCCTCCCCTCCGGCTCCGTCTTTTTCTATTTTTTTCCAACCTCCGGATCTGGCATCGCATCCCTCGTCCATGGCCATCGTCACCTTCTCGACATCACTGTCCAAAACTCCAGATCTGGCCATCAATGGCCAAACCCGTTCAAGCATCGTGTCACTTATTCATGGCCGTCGTCAGCGCCAAGCAACGTCGGAAGGGGCAGCTCGATCTGGAAGTTCGGCCAGATCTGGAGCCATGACCACGAGTGATGACAGCTCATTAGGCCATGGACGAGGGACACCGATGAAGGTGACGAGGGTCATCAAGGAGGGACGCCAACGAAGGTGACGACGGCCATGGCCGTAGAAGGTCACCTTCCCACTGCTGCTAATCAACTCACGAAGGATGGAGGAGAAAGAAGGGAGAAGTTGGTCTTTTATTTATTTTTTATTCTAACTCAGCGGACACATATCAATTTATTCTAGGACGCCATTTCAGTAATTGACGTGGCGCTTTGAAATCACTAAAAATTTTCTTGTCGAATGAACTAAATTGCACAAATGTAAAAGGTTTACAACTCAATTGGCTTAAGAAAGATTTAATATTAAATTGGCACAATTTCAATAAGTTTAGGACTGTTTTGATAATTTTTCCTTATTTTGTTAATGTGCATCTATAAGGCTCCACTCACAAAATGACATGTGTAGCCTTAGAAATTATCCTGAGCAAAACACATAATGATTTGGTCACCAAATCTGCCACATACAAACTAATTGCTTGATTATTCAATTAACCCCTTGAGAGTTTTTAAAAACACTTTGAGTTGCATATTATGTCTAGAAATAACTTAATCAAAGTTGATTAACATAGTTCACGAGATGAATCGTGCTCGTTTGAAAATGTCACTCTTAACTATTTGATGGGGAAAAGTGCCAAAAAAGTCATAAACCTTTTGCATTAGTGCCAATTTAGTCCTAAACATTTTTTTGGTGCCAATTCAGTCCTAAACCTTTTGCATTAGTGCCAATTTAGTCCTAAACCTTTTAAATTGGTGCCAATTCAGTCCTAAACCTTTTGCATTAGTGCCAATTTAGTCCTAAACCTTTTAAATTGGTGCCAATTCAGTCCTAAACCTTTTGTTTTTGTGCCAATTTGGTCCTTCCGGTCAATGTTGACCGGAATTTGCCGACGTGGACGCCGGCCGGTCACCGGTACCGAAGTGGCGCCGACGTGGACAACTTTAATAATATTTTAATATTTTTTTGAATTTTTATTTTTTTTCCTTTTTTTTCTTTTTTTTTCCATTTTTGTTTTTTGGTCTTTCCCTCCTTCCTCTGGCCGGTCGCCGGTCCGGCGACCGGCCAGAGGCCAGAGGCCGGCGAGCTTGACCTCACCGGCCACTAGAGAGGGCGAGCCTCGCCTTGGTTAGTCGAGGCTCGACCTCGCCGATCCGGCGAGGTTGGGCCTCGA